TCTTTCCCTCTCTTTCTGTTTTATTTCTCTCTGTGTTTTCACTGGCCTTTTTCTCTGTAGTGTATAATATACTATTAATCCTATCCAGGGTAATTTTTATTTCATGTGTCATACTTTTTATCAGTAGAAGTTCAATTTGGGTATTTTTTATATCTTATCTCTACTTGCTCAATTTTTTAATCTCCTTGCCTACTAATTCTATACTATGTCATTTGTGGGTCTGTTTCTAGGGATTGATTTTTCTCATTATTGGTAATAATTTGCTGCTTTTATATGTTTGCTGCTTCTTTTATATGTTGGAAATGCTTATGCTATATAATATTAAGTGAAAAAAATTAAATAGAAAACTGTATTATGATATGATCCTCTTTTTATTTTTAATAATGTTTATTCATCAAACATGTCATGATCTTTACCATCTCAAGACCTTATTCATATTTCTCCCTCTGCCTGCAGTGCTTACAATGACTAAGACTTTCTGGTCCTTAAGTCTCAGCATAGGTCTCAGCTTTTCAGAGGGACTTTCCTGACTGCTCTTCTCCATATAACATTCTACCTCCTCACAATCCTTCTCGGAAAGCCTCTATCTCTGTTGCATAGCCAATGCCCTTCATAGCACTTATCACAACTATCTACCGAATTTTTGCTATTCTCCTCCCAACATAGAGAAGAAGCTCCAAGAAAGCAGTGATTGTGTCTGTCTTACTTTCTGCTCCTTAGTGCCTAACAGTGCCTGGTGCTCAATAAGTATTGAGTGTATGAGTCAGGAAATATTTTTCCAAAGTATTGTTGTCTCTGAATGGCAGGATAATATATGCTTTTTGTTTTTCTCTCTTAAACTTTTCTTGCTCTTACAAAGTTTCTATAATGAATATTTATCTCTTTTACAATGAGAAAAATGCAGAGTACTCTATATTAAAATAATTCTTGAGTACCCGCTACATTGATGGAATGGTGAGACTTGGGTGTGTGAATGACTACAAGACAGGAGAAGCACCTAAAGGCAGCAGCCATACATTCTATTAATATACAGTATCTATAAGCAGAAAAGATATGTACACATGAAATTTAGAATTAATATACAAGTTAGTTAATAAAATTTTATTTGAATAGTGCTTTGTAACTTAATAAAATGACTTATATTCTCTTAGGTAATCTTCATAACTATCATAAGATGTATTATTTTCTTATTATTTCCATCTTCTAGAACACTCTTGTACTTCTAGTTGTTGGCAGAGTAAGGCATAAGTATTATGGTTTGGTGTTAGCCACTCCCACCTCAGAGAATTTTGAATAATTAAGTTATGTCTCTGGTGTCCTCCCATCTTTCTTCTTCTTCTTCTTCTTTTTTGTTTTTTTGTTTGTTTGTTTGTTTTATTTGCTTCTTGGACTTCTACCCTTTGCCCTACTCTCCAAGAGCATCTTACCTTTGTGCTGCTCACTCCTTCCTTCCACCCACTGTACCCTCCTTTCTTGGGTCTGATCTCTTCCAAATGCCCCCCTGTTCAAAATCACCTCTTCCTTCTCTGTCTCCAATTCCCAAACTGAACTGCCAGTTCCTGCAAAAGGCAAATCCCAGGTAAGTGCTGGAGGTTCTCTGCCTGTCAGAGCTTGGCTGTGTATGTGGGTGGCAGTGGCTGAGTCAGCTCTGTCAGGCAGTAGAGCCAGGGCTGCATAGTCTCAAGCCCCTTAAAAGCAGATTGTGATGGTATAGATGGGTCTCAAGTCTAAGTGGTCAAAAGCAAGGAAAATACAGGCTTAAACCCAGACCAAGGCTTATATTAGCAACCAGCAGACAGAAGCCTGGGCAGATGAATGCAGAGCCATGTCTATGAATGTCCTAAAAGAGCAGAGGTCCTTTGGAAAATAATAGAAGCAGGAGTGGGACTGCAATCTAAATTAACGCCAGGTTAAAGTAGTCAATATCACTTCTTTTTCCACTAATGATAATATTTTGATAAAGGAAAGATTGAAGGGCAGGAGTGATAAGAAGACCGATATTATTATCTTAAATAAAATCTTAATAAACAAAACCTGATAATGATTAAATAATCTACAAACCATGATCAAGTAGCATTTATTCCTAAGCTCAGAGGTCTGTAACATAAAGAAAAGCATCATGTAATTTATCCTATTAACTAAAAATTTAGTAAAAATATTTAAATCGTCTATATAGATGCTAAAGAAAATCTTTTATTTAAAAAGCAGCAAATTTTCTCTTCATCAGGGTAATTTTTGGTCTATTTAGAAAATGAACTTTATTTATTACAGAAAATTGTCTGTTTTAGAATAGGATATTAGAAGGCAGCTGAAAACTTGATGGCTTATAACTGTTTCTAATTTCTCCCTATGTAGAAAATAGCTCAGCAGTGAAGGGATAAACTGGCATACCCGCTCCCCTAGACCTGGGGGGTGGGGGATCAGTGTTGGAAATTACTATGGTAGTTTGAATTCATGCCTGTTTTGTTCACTTCTTTTCTCTTTTACAACTTGCAGGGTTCAGTATTATTACAGCTGCGGTAGAGAGTCTGTAATCTGGGAGATCCCTTCTCCTGCATTGTTTTGCCAACCTTCCAAAAGGATCCAGAAGCTGGCACAGCCCAACAGATTCAAGAAAGGGTATCTAATAAATAGGTAGAGTACCTTGAGAATCTCCATAAATTCTCATCTAATTTGGTGAATGTCACAATATTGTTGTTCTAATTTTAGTGTATGCAATTTCATAAAATAGAAGTCCACTTATGTTTCAAAGCATCAGGGTGAAAAATCAAATATTTGCAGCAATTGTGGGTAATCAGAAGGTCATCATCAGTAATTACATTTGACTCAAATTGTAGTGAAGCTAAAATTCACACTGAACTTACCATTGTCAGCCAATTAAAAAATATGCAAATGAAACATTACAGGTTTTTTCAATTCATGTTCTCTTACGCCTCTGTGACTGCAAATGCTCTTCCTTCTGCTTTAAATTCTGAAATTCTCCTTGTCTTTAAAAGACAGATTAGGAAATTCCCTGGTGGTCCACTGGTTAGGACTTCATGCTCTCACTGCTGAGGGCCTGGGTTCAATCCCTGCTGGGGGAACTAAAATGCCATAAGCCACGCAGCATGGCCAAAGAAAAAAAGAGCTGAGGTGTTACTTTCCACATGGGAGTTAAGATTGTAATAAGGTTATTGGAAGAAATGTTAGGTTGCATTAGTGGAATATGTACAGTGTACATGTTCCACCAAGTGGGGAGTGTGATAGTACTACTGTACACTACTTTAATCAGAACACATTAGATATATGTGTCCACTTACGGATGTTATACCTGAAGAAACTGATAATGAATTTGAGACTCTTCAGAGGTGATGAATGAGATGTTGATTCTTCTGGAAGCTATGTTATATGAACAATAGTTAAGAGAAATAACATGTTTAGCTTAGAGAAGACACCTAAGTAGCAGTGATAGCTATGTTTCAAGGGTCAGCATCTGAAAGAGGAAAGGGAAGTCAAAGTAAAATTACTTAGAACTGGAAGTAGAACAAGGAATTTACAGAGCAGCTGTTGTCAGCTAAGTGTAGAAAAATCTTTCTGGTAGCTATGCAGTAATGGAGGCGTTTATTTGGAAAGGTCAACTGCCAACTCCACCCAAATCCCTGAAAATGTTCAAGCACAAACTGGAATGATGACTATACATGGATTTTAGAAAAGATTCCTGTATTCAGGCATAGGTTGAACTGGACAAACTTGAGTCTTTTTCTATCATAGAATCCAGCAAAAATGGCCCAATTCCTCCACAAAATTTGCTTATTTGTCAGTTTATTAAAGAAAATCTGTTAATTTAGTTAAAATATGCATGTAAATCTGGTAAAGATCTGTATCTACAAACTAGAAGAATAGTTTAGTTATCTGTTACCAATTTTTGAGACACCTGAGGTTGACATTTCATATAAGTGAAACCCCCTTGAGTGCTAAAACTTTCTGTATCTTTAGAAGTTTGTTTCCCTGCTTTCTTAAGGAGATTCTTTTTTTTTAATAAATTACTTTTTTTAATATAATAGTGTTTATTTATTTTTACTTATTGACAGTTTGCTTTATTTATTTATTTATGACTGTGCTGGGTCTTTGTTTCCGTGCGAGGGCTTTCTCTAGTTGTGGCAAGCGGGGGCCACTCTTCATAGTGGTGCGTGGGCCTCTCACTATCGCAGCCTCTCTTGTTGCGGAGCACAGGCTCCAGATGCACAGGCTCAGTAATTGTGGCTCACGGGCCCAGTTGCTCCGTGGCATGTGGGATCTTCCCAGACCAGGGCTTGAACCCATGTCCCCTGCATTGGCAGGCAGATTCTCAACCACTGTGCCACCAGGGAAGCCCAGGAGATTCTTTTGATACTGAACATACATGTAACCTTTTTCCATTGGCTTGAGATATTTATTATGAACAGCAACTATCACATAATAACTTAATTTGGTAAACCTCTCAGAAAGTGTTTAAGTATGAAGCACATTGCTTAGGCTAAATGGTCTGACCTCTTTAGATTATGATATTCACTTTTCATAGTTTTCCTGTCATTTCTCTTTTATTTGGGAGAATAGTCTGTAAGTAGTCTCTTTTCTGATCTTTTGTGCTCTGGAAACAGATAACCAAACTTGTTCAGAATTGTATGAGGGGGAAAATGCAAGTGCTTAATGAAGACACACAGGGTTGTCCAATAAATGTACTACATGAGCCTGGACTTTGTGACATATATTTTAGCTGATTCACTAGAGGGGCTCAACAGTAGATTTGAGCAGTCAGAAGAAAGAATCAGCAAACTTAAAGATAGGTCAGTGAAGATGATCAAGTCTGAGGAACAGAAAGAAAAAAGAAAAAAATAAAATAAACAAAGCCTCAAAGCCCTGTAAGACAGCATCAAGGGTATTAACATATTGATAATGGGAATTTCATAAAGAGAGTAGAGAGATAAAGGGGCAGAAGGAATATTTAAAGAAACAATGGCCAAAAGCTTCCCAGCTTAGATGAAAAACAACCTTCACATCCAGGTAACTCAACAAACTCCAAGTGTGATATACTCAGAAAGCTCTACAACCTGACGCATCATAATCAAACTGTCCACCATCAAAGACAAAGAGAGAATCTTGAAAGCAGCAAGAGAAGTGACTCATCATATGCAAAGGATCTGCAATAAGATTAACAGGTGATCTCTCATCAGAAACCATAGAGGCCAGAAGGCAGTGGCATGACATATTTAAAGCACTGAAAGAAAAATACTGTCAGCCAAGAATACTCTAGCTAACAAAATTATCCTTCAAAAATAAAAGAAATTAAGACATTTCCAGTTAAACAAAAACTGAGAAAATTCATCACCAGCAGACCTGCTTTACAGTAAATACTAAAGGGAGTCCTTTAGGCTAAAATGAAAGGACACTAGACAATAACTTGAATCCACATGAAGAAATAAAATTGAGTTAACTACATAGGTAAATATAAAAGATAGTATACATGTATTTTTCTGTTTGTAACCCTTTTATTCTCCTATGTAATTTAAAAGACAACTGCATAGGATTTCCCTGGCGGTCCAGTGGTTAAAACTCCATGCTCCCAATGCAGGGGGCGTAGGTTCAATCCCTGATCAGGGAATGAATATCCCACATGCCACGTGGCATGGGCAAAAAAAAAAAAAAAGACAACTGCATAAAGCAAATTATAAATCTGTGTTGATGGACATACAATGTATTAAAAAACAGCCCAAAGAGGGGAGGGAATGGAGTGATACTAATCTGAATTAGATTGTTATAAGTTAAGATATACAGGGCAACAACTAAGAAAATAATTTTTAAAATATAGTAAAAGAAATAACAAGGAATTTAAAGGGTACACTAGAAAATATCTAACATGGAAGAAGGGAGGAATGGAGGAATACAGGAATAAAAAGATGTAACATGTGAAAAACAAAAGCAAAATGGCAAGCATAAATGCCATGTTATGAGTAATTGCATTAAATGCAAATGAACTGAACAGTCCAATCAAAAGGCAGGGATTGACAGAATGGATTAAAAGAATGTACTCAGTAATATGCTGTCTATAAGACACATACTTTAGATTCAAAGAAATATATAAGCTGAAAGGAAAAGGACGAAAAAAGATATACTATGAAAACTAACTAAAGTGAGTGGATATACTCATATTGGACGATTAGACTTTAAGACAAAGAAGGACATTTTATAGTAATGAAATGGTCAATCCATTAGAGAACTATAACAGTTATAAACATATATATACCTAACAACAAGAACCCAAAATAGATGAAGCAAAACCTGGTAGAATTGAAAAGAGAAATAGAAAATTCAACAAGTTGAGTTTTTCAATACTCTACTTTCAGTAATAGAAAGAATAACAAGCAGAAGATCAACAAGGAAATAGAAGGCTTGAACAATACTATAAACCAAAAATATCTAATTGACATTTATAGGACACTATACCCAACAATAGCAGAACACACATTCTTCTCAAGTGCACATGGAATATTCTCTAGGATAGATCATATATTAGGTCATAAAACAAATGTCAATAAATTTATAAGAATTGAATTCATACAAAATCTGTTCTCTGACCACAATGATGAAATTAGGAACCAATAGCAGAAGAAAAAATTTAAATATGTGTAATTAAATACACTCCTAAACAAACAATGGGTCAAAGAATAACTCACTTTGATATTAATAAAATGAAAACACAGTATACCAAAACTTATGAGATACAGCTAAGGTGTGATTAGTGGGAAATTTTAGCTGTAGATGCCTACATAAAAAATAAAAAAGATTGCAAATTGTAACCTAATCTTCCATCTTAAGAGATTACAAGTGGAAAAGCAAACTAATTCAAACAAGCAGAAAACAGGAAATTATAAAGATTAATGTGGAAATGAATAGAAACCAGAAAGACAGAGAAAATCAACAAAACTGAAAGTTGGCTCTTTGAAAAGATCAACAAAGCAAACCTTTGGCTAGACTTATCAAGACAAAAAGACAGGAGGCTCAAATTACTAAAATCATGAAAGAAAGAAGGGACCTTTCTAAGGAATCATTTGCAAAAGAAGGGTTGCAAATTGATCTTATTTAGAGAAAAAAGGATTATAAGGGATTACTATGAGCAATTGTAAGGCCAACAGATTAGATAACATAAACGAAATGGACAAATTCCTAGAAATACAAACCACTGAAACTGACTGAATAATAGAAAATCTCAACAGACCCATAACAAATAAAGAGATTTAATTAATACTTTTTAAAAACTTCCTATGAACAGCTCAGGAACAGATGCCTTCATTGATGAATTCAATGATATGCTTAGAGAAGACCTAGACCAATCCTGCAGATTCTTCCAAAAGGTAGGTCACTTCCCAACTCATTCCATGAGGTCCATGTTACCCTGATACCAAACCAAAAAACCTTTTTAATGACAAGAGAAGAAAATGACAGATAATATCTCTTATGAATATATGTGTAACAGTTCATACCAAAATACTACCAGACCAAGTCCAAATATACATGCAACAATCCACACCAAAATACTACCAAAGCATATCAAACAATATTTAAAAATAATTATGCACCATGACCAAGTTGGATTTATTCTAGGAATACAAGAATATGTTGAGTTCAACATACTAAAATCAATGTAATACACCAAGTTAATAGAATAAAAAAAACCAAAATTACATGATTACCTGAATAGACTCAGAAAAAGCACTTAATAAAATTTAACACATATCATATTCAACGAACGAGGTATAGAAGTGAACTTCCTCAGCTTGATAAAGGGCATCTACAAAGAGCCCACAGCTAACATCATAATTAGTGGCGAAAGACTAAAACCTTTCACCCTAAGATCAGGAATAAGACAAGAACATCAGCTCTCACCACTTCTGTTCAACATCATACTAGAGGTTTGAGTCAGGGCAGTTAGGCAAGAGAAAGAAATAAAGCTATTCAGGTTGTAAAGCAAGAAGTATTGATAACTCTCTACTCATAGATGACATGATCTTATATATAGAAAATCTCAGGGAATCCACATGAAAACGATTAGAGCTAATAAATTAGTTCAGGAAGGCACAGAATCCAAGATCAATATACAAAAATCAATTGTATATCTATCCACTATCAATGAACAATCTGAAAATGAAATTAAGAAACAATTCCATTTACAGCAATGTCAAAAAGCACAAAACAATACGTGCAATGGAATATTAGCCTTAAAAAGGAAGAAAATTCTGACAAATGCTGCAACATGGATGAACCTTGAGGACATTACGCTAAATGAAATAAGCCAGTCACAAGAAACCAAATACTGTATGACTCCACTTATACACAGTACCAACTGTAGTCAAATTCATACACAGAAAGTAAGATGGTGGTTGTCAGGGGCTAGGGGGGTGGGGAGGATGAGGAGTTGTTTAATGGGTATAGAGATTTGCATGACGAAAATTGTTCTGGAGGTTGGTTGCACAACAATGTGTATACATTTAATGCTACTGTACTATACACTGAAAAGTGGTGGAGATGGTAAATTTTATGTTATATGTATTTTAATATAATTAAAAATAAAAGAACAAAATACTGAGGAATAAACTTAACAAAAGAAGTGCAATGTATGTACACAGAAAACTACAAACATTGTTGAAATAAATTGAAGATTTAAATACATAGACATTCTCTGTTCATGGATTAGAAGTCTTAATTTTGTTATGATGACACTTCTCACCAAATTGATCTACAGATTTAGTACAATCCCTATTAAAAGTCCAGCTCTCCTTTTTGGGTAGAAATTGACAAGGTGATTCTAAAATTCATATAGAAATGCAAGAGACCTAGAATAGCAAGAACAATCTTGAAAAAGAATAACAAAGTTGGAAGACTTACAGCTTCTGATTTGAAAACTTACTAAAAAGCTACAGTAATCAAAACAGTGTGTTACTGGCATAAGAATAGACATATAGATCAATGGAATAGAATTGAGAGTCCAGAAATAAGCCCTTATGGTATATGTCAGTTGATTTTTGACAAGGATGCCAAGACAGTTTAATTGAGGAAGAATAGTCTTTTAAACAAATGGTGCTAGGATAACTGGATATCCACATGCAAAAGAATGAAGTTGAACCCCTACTTCACACCATACACAAAAGTTAATTCAAAATGGATCACAGACCTAAATATGAGAGCTAAAATTATAAAACTCATAGAAGAAAACATAGGCATATATCTCTGTGACCTAAGCAGTGGTTTCTTTGATATGACACCCAAAACACATGTGACAAAAATACAATAAATTGGACTTCATTAAAAGTAAAAACTTTTGTGCATCAAAGGACACTCTCAAGGGAATTAAAAGGCAGCTCATAAATTGGGAGAAAATATTTGCAGATCATATATCTGATAAGAGACTAGTATTCAGAATATGTACAAAGAATTCTTAATACTGTTCAAAAAAGACAACCCAATTTTAAAAATAAGCAAAGGACATGAATAGACATTTCTCCCCCAAAAATATACAAGGAACAAGAAGCACATGAGAAGATGCTAAATATCATTAGTCATCTTGGAATTGCAGGTTAAAACCCTGAGATTCTACTTCACATCTCTAGAATGGCAATAATAATAATTAATAAAGAGAAAATTACTTGGAGAGGATGTGGAGAAATTGAAACCCTCATACATTGCTGGTGGGAATGTAAACTGGTGAAGCTTATGTGGAAAATAGTTTTCCAGGTCCTCAAAATGTTAAACATAGAATTATCATAAGATCAGCAACTCCACTCCTAGGCATGTACCCAAGACAGTTGAAAACATATGTTCAATATACTAATGATGAAAAAATCTGAAAGTGAAATCAAGAAAACACTCCCATTTACCATTGCAACAAAAAGAAAACATATGTTCACACGAAAGCTTGTACATGAATATTCACAGCATCATTCCAAAATAGCCAAAAAGTGGAAGCAACTCAAATGTTCATCAATGGATGCATGGATAAACAAAATGTGACAAATCCATATAATGGGATATTATTCAACCATAAAAGGAAAGACATACTCATACATGATTCTTGAAAATATGCCAAGTGAAGGAAGCTAGACACAAAACGTGACATATTTGTATGATTCCATGTATTTGAAATTTCCAGAATAGGCAAATCCATAGAGACAGAAAGTAGATTACTAGTTCCTAGAGGTGGGGAGGGGCTGGGGAGGGGGTAATGGGGTGGGATTTTAATAGGTATGGGATTTCTCTTTAGGGTGTTGAAAACATTCTGAATTTAGGTAGTGGTGATGGTTGCACAATTTTGTGAATATTCTAGAAAGCATAGAATTGTACACTTTAAAAGGGTAACTTCTATGGTATGTTAACTATATATCAATTTTTAAAACTAACAGACTACCCCTAGAGGGTAATCATATTTATTTGAGAAAAACTTTTTCCATATTAGGTTTGTAGGTTTGTTGGTTGATAGGTTTCTGTTCTGGGAAAGGAGTATGTGGGGAAACCACCTATGATAATCAGCCAGGTTGCTGGGAGTTAATGTCCAGCACTATCTCAAACTGCACTGCAGAGGAGACTGGCCATCACAGAGGGTTCTTGGTAGTGACTGGAATTTTTATCTCAGGGTTTTAATAGAAGGTTTTGGTAGGAAGTGAAGTGTTTTTTAAACTGCAAGTCTCAACCCATCAGTGGATCATGAAATCAATTCCAGTTGTTGTTGTTTTTATGAAATCAAATGAAATTTTAAAAATCAGAATGCATTGCCTAGGGAAAGCATCGTTTCATGATCATTTTGTTTCAGATACACAGATTTACATATATTGTATTACAATATAAAATGTACTTCTTACTGTGGATCATAGTAAAACAACTTTGAGAAACACCAATCTAGTAGAAAGAACACTAATGATTATGGGAAAAGATGTTCCTAAGATAGAAACAATAAATATAATTGATTGGAGGTTGATTATAGCAATGAAGAATGCAGTTATTGTTCCTCCAATGATTATAATATTTCATGTTCCATTTGCATATAGGCCCTTCAGTGATTACTTAAGAGATTCTCTTCGAATCTCTGATCCTTCTCCCCGGATATTACAACTCTCAATGGCCAAAGTCACAAATCCAAACTATGTTCCTCCAAAAAGCGTAAGTGGGTCCATGTGAAAGAAACAGTTCCTGATGCACTTTGTAACATGTAGCATGTTTGTAACTGTAATGTGCTCCCCTCTTATTTCTAAGTGTGTATTTTCCTTTTCTTCATGTTTATTTTCCCCTCTTATCAAATGAATTTTTCTGACTATCTGCCCTGTGCCTAATGTATCAGTTAGGATTTGATGAGAGAAGCAGAACCACAATGCGTATTATAGAATTAACCTTAAGCAATTGTGGGAGCTGATGAGAAGTCTATGGAAGACTGTTACAGCAGCTGGAACTTGGGTCTGGTCATAGATCTAGAAGAAATGAGAGAGACTAGGGGTAGTTCAGCAGTCCCTTAGAAGATATTTACTTCAGGAGAGGCAATTACAGGAGAGTCTTGCCTCTTCAGACAAGGGAGGAAGGGCTGATTCTGTTGGTAAGGCAGGCTCAGGTATGTTCAGGGGTTCAAAGTCCCCCCTTCATTGGAATGTGCCCTTATGTTCCTGTTCCAATTTTTAAGGTCCAATTCCTTCTGAATCATTGCCCTAACTTTAATATAGGAGACCATATAAGTTTGGGAATTCAATTTGCGCTGTAATTCACCCACTCACAGAATTAGATTTTGAGCTTGGTTTTGAGAATTTTCAGTCCTTTGACCATTAAAGATAAGGGTTTCTTTCGGGTAAGTCACAAAAACTTTCTGGTCCCTTAACTGTGCCTTAAGGTGGGAATTTAAAGGTCTGAGCTGGTAATTTCTTTCCTCAAGTTCTCCAGCGCACTTAGAAGCAATGAGCCAACCTCACTATACCTCTTTATTTCACTAAAATGATCTCTGTCAGCAGCTGCTTGGTTACCAAATCTTGCTTTCTGTTTCGTCAGTGCATGCCACAGACTACCAGTGTCTTTTTTTTTTTTTTTAAACCACTGGCAATAGGATCATTAATAGCTTTAAATCTAATCTGCTCAGAAAACAAATTCCAGATGGTCTAGAACCAGTACAGGCATACCTCAGAGATATTTTGGGTTCAGTTCTAGACCACCCCAATAAAGCAAATATTGCAATAAAGCAAGTCACACAAACTTTTTGCTTTCCCAGTGCATATAAAAGTTATGTTTACACTACTGTAGTCTATTAAATGTGCAATAGCATTCTGTCTAAAAAAACAATGTACACACCTTAGTTAAAAAATACTGCTAAAAAATCTTAACCATCATCTGAGCCTTCAGTGAGTTGTAATCTTTTTGCAATAGTAATGTCAAAGATCACTGATCACATATCAGCATAATATAATAAAAATGTAAAAGTGTGAAATATTGTGAGAATATTTCTGACACAGAGATACAAAGTGAGCAAATGCTGTTGGGGAAATGGTGCCGATAGACTTGCTTGATGCAGGGTTGCCACAAAACTTCAATTTGTGAAAAACGCAGTATCTGCAAAGTACAATAAAACACAGTATGCCTGAACAAAGAACCCATCCTTAAAGTTCTGATCTGGTTATCTGTTGCTTTATACCAAAGCACCCCCCAAACTTAGTGATGTTAAACAACAGCCAGCGGGGAGGAGTCAAGATGGCGGTCTGGGAAGCTGCGGAGTTAGCTCTCCCCACAACTAGGGCACCTGCTGGCTGCTGGTGGGGGACTCTAACCGCCAAGGAGACGGGAGGAATCCCAGAGTGAACCAGTAGGATGTAGGGGGACTGAGGGAGGAGAAGTGGAGGCCAGACAGGATCGGCGCCCCTGAGGCCGGGGAGGTCAGGAGAGGCAGGCGGGAGGGACTCTCCGGGAAGAGCG